GACTTGGCAGAAACTGCCGAAATTATAAATACAACCATAAACAACTCCAGAGCGACACAAGTACTGTTTGTGGTCACTATTGTGTTGTTGTCCTTCACTGGCTTAGTAATGGCTTCTCTTTGTCAGCTTTCTTACGGAAATTCTCGAATAACCGGGAACGTAACGATCAGCTCATTGTAAAAAAGTTCAAGAAAATAATGAAAAATAAATCGACAAGGAGATGTAAGAAAAAATCTGTAAACCTATCCGGTAACGGATCAATTCTTCAAAAGTGTGAAAATAAAGAACTTCATATAATGTAAAATTTATCAATTTATTTCATTTGGAACCGCCTCAAAACCGTCTCTCTTTCTTAAACTATTCCTCAAAGCACCTGCTATTTTCTTCCAAAACCCTCGTTTTTGTTCAGTTGTTGAGGGCAATGACCCATGCTCCATTGAATGGATGATGTCATAATGGCCCAGATGTGCCAAACACAAGACCAGTCCGGCAAAGGCATGGGGCCCACATTTTTTAATTGTTGAAAATACCTCTTGAGCCGTTTTCTCACTGTATAAATCGTTCTGAAAAAATTACTTGTATGAAAAAAAAAAGAAATTAAATATGATGATTTGACATACCATCCAGTAATTCAGATTACAATTGTAATGGTGAAATACACCATGTCGGAACAATAATGGAAGTAGGGATGGTATATAGACATCACTTATAAGCCTGTCCCAACACTCGTCAATACGCTGCTGTTCAGGGTACTCCATCTCTATCCACCGAATGGGCCTAACTACAATTCCTGTGTACGGGTTCGAATATTTCAACTCACCAGAAGGAATACCCTCCTATCACATCACCATGGAAACAGACAAATACGCAATGTGTTTTTTCATACTTTTAACTGTTCTGGTTTTAAGTGCTGCTATACTGATAGTTTTTTGGATTGTCTATGTTGATCAAAATTATTATCATAACGCCTTTTCTGAAAATGTAACGGAAATATGGAATAAAACACTCTGAAAAATTTAAAATGCATACATGTGTTCATTTATTTACAATCGCATTCCTAACACCGGAAGCGATGACCCAGCACATGTTTTTGATACCACTTGTGTTTACTCAAGATAAATAGTCTGATACGTGTTTCGGAAGTCTGCAAATTCCTTCCTTACCGAGCTCAGCCCACTACCACCCACC